ACTACAATGTGTTTGCATTCTTCCAAGCAAAGCAAAATTAAGTACAAATAAAACGTAAGAAAATTTTAAATTTAGTGTGAGACTTTACTCGTTTTTAACTAGAAATTTTTTTAAATAAATTCCATACAAGAAAAAGCATTTTCGAATCGTGATTCCGTGGAATATGCGAAAATTTTCCTTGCTGTTATGTGGTCCAATAACATTTAGTTTAACTAATATTAAACTAAAAGTTACCTTTATGAAATTTATTTTTTTTTATAAAAGGCATTTTTATTTATTTTGTTAAAAAAAATAAAAACAAGTAAAAACGTAGTCCAAATAGTCCAAATAGGGTATGAAAAATATAAAAAATAGTCCAAATATAAAAACTTGTTTTTCAAATGTTTGGAATTAGCTTTCATGAATGTATTTCAATTACTCGGATTTGCCAAATCATTCGACAGAAATTTAACGGATATGTCTGACCTATAAATGGACACCCGACTAACTCTATTATTTTTCTGAATATTTAAAATTTAATATCTTTGGCAGTGGTGTAGCTGTTTCTGGTGTCTTTATTTCGGAATAAGTAAATACCACACATATTATGCACGTAAAGTAAAAAAAAATATCTGATTTGGTCAGCACATAACTAACCGCAATGTATATTATCTAGATTAGTAAAAGTATTCCAAAAGATTATGAAAATGCGTTTTAAACACTGTTTTACAATTTTGAGAACACAAATAACCTTTTAGTTAAATTTAGTTGACTTACCTAGAAAGATGTGAATTTGACTCTTAGTGTAGTTTCATTTTGTCTCGTAAATATACCAAAAGTTCCTCAGTAACTTCTGTTAACAACCAGAACTCAAATATCAAATTTCAAGAAATTCCATCTGTTCCGTAATATGGTAAAAAATGTAAAATCGGCCCCCAGATCAGTTTCCGAGCCGAGATCTTTTCAAAAAATTCATAGATTCATTGTTTTAACACTTCAGATTTAAATATTAAATTTCAATAAAATCGGTTGATTATTTTCCTTTTTACACGCCAAAATATACATTTGGCCTAAAGTAAACTTCTGGTTGTTGACAACTGATTTCTTTCAAAAGTTAGGAGGTTTCGCGAACGGTCGAATATATCTTATATATGAAATTTCAAGTAAATCTGTTGAATATTTTCTGCTACATAATAAAAAAAAATGTAAAACAGGCCCGCTAGAAAGTGCAGTTACCGAGGCCTGATATATCCCAAAAGTTCATCAATCCGTGCCATAGCCAAAATAAAATTTCATCAAAATCGGTTCAGCCAAACTTGAGATACACGCGTACACATACAGGTCAACAGAACAACATATCTCTAAAAGTAGTTTATTTACACTTCTCTACTATGGAGAAGTGCGTTCCCACCGAAAACTAGATATACAAAATTTGGTGCTATCACATGACCTACCTTATTGTATTGGTCTCATTATATTTTTAGATATTTTAGATTATATTTTTAAATTTATTTTCAAACGTTTTTTTTTTTATTTTTAACGTTATTTATTAATTTATACTTTCGCTTTTCTAAAATAAGTACCTGCTTTTAATAATTGCTTTAAAACTTTCCTTTCCGTGGGACTCTTAAGCAAAATGTTTACTTTTGTAATAATTATTGTAAAAATTTATTTTAAAAAACAATAATTTGCTTGAAGAATATGTCTTTCACGATCTTTGAGTATAAAACCTCACAAATTGAAATTGATTCAATAATGTGACTAAAGATAAGGCTGCTAAACTTAATTACATTTAAACAAAGAAAAGAATTATATATTTATTTGACTGAAAAAAAAATAAAAGTTATTGTTTAGAAGATCTAGGGATGCTGCTACTCAATCGCTTATATTTCAACCAACTATTAAATATGTTCTTAATACGTTAGACTAGAGAAATGTCAGTAATTTGCATTTAAAAATTCTAATACCAATGCTTATTGCATATACCTGTATTGTAATATTGAAATTTCGCCTAAAAGGAATTGAGGATGAAGTAGGAAAGATTAATAGTACATATTGCATTTATATATAAAGTCAGCTTGGTTCGTGCAATTTGAGTATTAAGAAAAACAATTTTTTGTTCGGTACAAACTTAGTAAATTTTGTTTCTAAATAAATAGTCATAAGCAGCATCTATACATCTCATTGCTTATTTGAATGTCATTGTAGATTAAAATTTTATGCAAATCGTTTAAGAAAAAAAAATTTATTTTTTATAATTTCAAAAAAAAGTTCTTTTTGTGTCAACACCCTAAAGCTATATGCACGGCGTATTAATTAAACTTTTCCATTATTTTTAGTAAATGATGAATAAAAGTCTACAAGTTTAATCAGCATTTCAACACATTTTAATGCAATCACTTTTCTTTTTTTTTTTTAATAATATTTTAAATAATTTTAATGAAGAAGAAAAGAATTAAGTCAAAAAACAAAGAAAAAAAGGAGAAAAAAATGAATCCTTTAACCCTTAGGTTTATAACTTTATTATGGTTCTTTTGTGACCACCTACGATTACTATATTTTTTGCTCATTTTTATTCATTTTCCTTACTGCATGTATATAACTTATTTGGAATTCGTATATTAAAAAAATAAAGTATATATTGGATGAGATCTTCTTTTTAGTCCTTTTTAATGTAATTTATTATTAATGCACAAAAAATTAACATTTAAGGCAACTAAAGGATAAAAAGAAAATATAATTTTTTTATATATAAAAATTAAAAAGTCCTTAAACAATGTTAAAAAAAAATAGAAAAAAAAAATAATATTTTTGTTCCTGTCCTGTTACTGGCCTCTTTATTTTGGAATTAGTGAATTCCACACATATTATGCACGTAAAGTAAAGAAAAAAAGGGATACCCAACGAAAAAAAGAAATTAATTACAACGTTATAAAAAATATTAAATATTTTTATTAAATATTTAAAAAAAAATAATACAAAAAAAGAAAAAGAAATTTTATTATACGCATATAAAGTTGTAAAGAATTTAATTAGAATTTAATAAGGGTTTATTTTGTAATTTGGGTGTTGCTTTTTATAATTTTTTTTTATATTTTTTTTTTCAAAAGTACACAATATATACTTTAATACTTAGAAAAGTGAGAATTATTAAATATTAATTCTTTGAACTTAATTAGAAAAGCCTTACCAAGAAGTCAAATAGCCGCATATCCAATATTATATTATAAAAACGAAGAAAAAAAACTTAACAAAATTAATTAAAATCTGATTTGAAATGCTTAAATATATTTTATTGTTAAGCTTGTAATGCCTATTATATTTAATTATTTAATATTTGGAATTAAAAAGGAAAAAGTGGAAACAAGTTTCATACTATTTAAAATACTTGCATAAAATTAATTTTTTTAGGCAATTTTTTATAATATATTTATTTAGTTCATTCAATTCCACATTCAGTTATAGCTATAACAATAAAATAAAATCCAGTCAAACAAATGGTTAGAAATGCAAGTGAAAAAACTTTATAAACCTAATCCGTTTCTTAAAACATTTTCATTGATATACCAAAATTATATTATTGTTTGGTTTTATTTTAATAAACAGAAACTAATAGACGATTATTGAAAATTCATGATTTTCAATTCATATTTAAAACTTCAGATCCTTTAAAACTTGAATTTTGCAGTGAATTTGTTTGCTACTCTATCCCTCTATATTGTCGGCAATTCATATAAAAAATTTCTGTTATTTCCTTTTTTATGTTTATTTCAATTCAATCTTGTTCATGTTTTTTTTTTTTTCTTGTAGAAATTTGTAAACTCTAATAATGCAGCCCTAAAGTGACCTAGAAAACTGCGAAATTGGTCGCTGGAAACGTATCAATAGCAGCTACATTTTTTTTTACAATAACTCCTACAATCAAAATGTCTTTTATCTTGAAACGTGGTAAAAAATTTGTTACGAATATGTCTGGACATGATAAAATGAAATAAAATGTTTTTATGCGGGTTTACTCCTTCTGCCTACATACCAAACGAAATCATAAAACTTTAACAACTTCCGCATTAGAAGGCCTAGGGGCTTCTAGCCAAGGCTTTTTGGAAAATTTTGGCCAGCATAGTGGGAGCGATTTAAGAGGAAGGGTACAAATTTTCAGTTACACAAAACCTGATCACAATTTTTGCTGAGTAGTATAAAAAGGGATTTAATAAAAAACGAAGTTCATATATTTATAGCCAGTTTTATTTTATGATGTTTTTTAAAGGAGCGATCTAGACCAAAAGATTTATGTTTTAATGACTTCTGAAAGTTTGAGATACAGCTATTTGAAAAATTATTTTAATTTATTCTAGTATTAAAATTCAATTATGCTTTGACAAGTTCAATGCCACCGCGTTGATAAAAATAGATTTATGATCCGACTCAGATTTAGGGCTTGACCGTCTATCTCGCTATTTTACTCGGCAAGTGAGAAGAAAGTGAGTAACTATCATATATTTGAATAATGTAATTTTCGAGTGGGAAGAATTATTCGGTGTTGCGTATCTAGTTTTTTCCTAAAATGTATAAAAAATTTATTCACTTTGTTTTTGAAAGCTAGATGCTCAGTCGATAATTTCAGAAAAAATGCAAAAATCAAACTGGAAAAATGAAATATCCATTAGAAAAAGGGGGAACTCTGATTTGAAAGTGAATAAAAAGTGAATATAAAAGCAAGATACACAATCAGGCTGCTAGATTATTTAGAAAATTTCTCAAGCATTTTAGATAACTAGGTTTTTTTAATTTGTGTAAATTTTTGACATTTCCATATTTCCATATTCCATATAACTATTAGTTATTTCATTTAGAGTAAAATATTATTTTATATAATTTGCAATATTTTTTTCTTTAATATGTAATTTCCTTTTTAGTTGCTTAATTTGTAATTTACAACAAAATTGAAAAACAAAACTATAATTTCATTTTTAACATTTACTGAAAAATAATTAAAAAATGTTCTTTTCCTGATTTTACAGGTATGGAAATGCTTATGAATTCTGTTGGCTCAGCATCATCGGCAACTACATCATCAATTGCAAGTCTAAGTGGTTTATCAACATCGGCTCTATCAGCATCAGCTGGAGTTGGTTCATCATTAACATCAGTTTTAGCAGCATCAGCAGCATTTTCATCAGCATCTTCATCATCTGTTTCATCATTAACATCGTCATCAATTAACAAATCAACAATATCAAATGCAATATCAAGTACAACTACACCACAACAAAACTCTGCGCAACAACAACAAAGTAATACTAACGGAAATGATGGAAATACTTCAGCTAATGGTGAAGATTTAGTAACATTAGAAGCCGAAATTTCGGAATTGCAACGTGAAAATGCAAGAGTTGAATCACAAATGTTACGATTAAAATCCGATATTAATGCTATGGAATCACAATTGAGTAATGGTGATCGGGTACGTAGAATAAGGTTGGTTATTGCGAAGTGTTTTTCATATGAAAACTTTTTTGCCATAAACTAACGACATTAAAATACTGTTTTATTTCTCCTTCCAATTCTTTAACTTAATATCCTAATTCAGAGTATGAAAGTATAAAATTGGCCAAAAAATTGTTTACATAGCGTAGTATTCGATAAAAAACTGAAATATTTTTGTATATTTTTTACCAACTACGCGTACAAAATTTTACACTATACAGAGGAAAATTTCTTAAATAATTTTTCCAAATAAAATTTTTATATTTGAGTATATAGAGAAAAATAAAAATTTAAAACTTTAAGTTGTAATAACTATCACTTTACTTGACTGAAGTTGAATAATTAGAACAACTAAAATTAAATACAGAAAACTACTTTTGGCCAACATGTGCTTACTTACCATACACAATGTAAGTATATAAAGTTTTTCATTACATAAATCTTGTTTAAAATTTTCTTAAAGCTAAAATGGTGAGAACCATACAATCATAACGAACATTTTGATGAGTTAGGTAAAATTAAATTTTTAAATTTATAAAATTTCATGAAAACCTTAAATTTAATAAATTAAATATTAGATGTAACTTCAATGTTCTTCATATTCGTTTAACTAGACATACAAAAATTAATTTGATATTCACTCAAAGAGATTTAGAATCCCGTCGGCGTCATTTTCAACAACAATAACAAACAGTTAAAGGACCGTTATTTTCATGTTCGATTCGGGTTTTTCCCAAGTGGTTAATGAATCTTTTTCAACTATAACATAACAGAGACCGTCTGTCTAGGTATGTACATAGGTATAAATCTTGTTTTCTTATACATATATATAAATATTTACTTAAACGTAGTAGAGCAAAATGTATACACAAAAATATAGATTGACTAAAAGTAACGTTATATTTATGTGTAAGTATGATTTTAAAAGTATATACATACATATGTATATTGATGACATCTGTGATTTCCTATTGTTTTTCCTTTATATTTCATAATATTTTAAATTAATTATTGCGCTCGTTTGAAATAAAATCCTAAATATTATACAGGGTGTATGGAACTGAATGGTATTCCCGAATCAGAGTAATAGAATGCATGCAGACGAACAAAAAACATCTAGTGACGGTTTTCTTTTTCGGCCCCCTTTCTCGAGTTATTGGGCCTCAAAGTTGGAACAGCCGAAAATAGTCTGATTTTCACATTTTTATTTATAACTCGGGAAATATGAAGGGTAAATCCAACTTTGTAAATTCATTTTAAAGGTAATAAAATTTTCCTTCTAACGGTATAAAAGGGTTTTCAAAGACTTTTTTAGTTTCAGAGATATTCAAGCTCAAAATCAAAATTTAAAAAAAGTGTTTTCTAAATTTGCGTTTAACCGACATTTATTTACAATTCCACGTTATTAACCTACTGTTTTTTCACAGGAGAAAGAGCCCTATATTCTTCTCTTTATTGTGATATAACATAATATAACGTGGGCAACATATTATTAGCTTTAAAATGAGTATACAAAGTTGAATTTAAGAGTTATATTTCCCGAGTTATAAATAATAATGTTAAAATCAGAAAGTTTTTGCATGTTCCTATATTGAGGCCCCATAACTCGAGAACAAGCGCCCAAAAAGAAAAATGTCGCTAGGTGTTTTTTGTTCGTCTGCATGCATTCTATCACCCTGCTTCGGGAATACAATTAAGCCTCACACACCCTGTATTGTTGACCATTCTTTGTACCATCAAAGTTCTAAAAATCGCAGAACCATAACTTTTTCAAAAAATTTTTGAAAAAAAGTGCTTATTAGTTTCACACAACGTCCACCGGTCCGTCCGTGGACATGTTTACAAAACTTCTACACCATTGAAGATAGAAAACTGAAATTTTATTTTTACATAGATCTCTACTAAAAACTTATTTCAGTAAAAGAAAATTTTTACCTATCTAATCCTCCCCACCCTAAAAGTTATATCCCCTTAAAACCCCAAAATGACATTTTTTAACTTTTTAGTGCAGTGAAATCGTAACCATTTTTTAATTTTGCAATCGCACTTTACTATATTTCAACTTTAAAAAAAAGAAAAATTACCGTTAAAATTTACCGTAAACTAAAATTCGTTTTTTTTTTTTTATTTTTGACGTCGTTTTCTTCTAGAAAAGGTTGTGAAAGACTAAAATTTTAACAGCTTTTGGACACTAATAAATACTTTATTTCATTAGAAAAAAACTTTTTGCCACTTCCACCCCTTCTAACGTTATTGTCTTACGAAATTTGTAAAATGTGAATTTTTGGCACCTTATATATTCGAAACCATAAGCTTTTGTAAATTTCTTTAAACGTAGAAAGCTAACGATAAACTCTATGCAACTAAAAAATATGATTATTTTTCTACGCAAATAACCCTTAATCGAGCATTATGTTTACGCCTCTTTCAATTTTTTTTGGTTTCTTACAATGATTGAATACATTACTTATTCTAAAGGTATGCAATTTTTTAAATATATTCGAATATGAACAAAAGTAATTTTAATAATATAGATAGTACATAGCTGATTGTTCTTAAAAGCAGTATTTGCACTTGTTGAAGGGAAAAGTGCTAAATTGCAAACCATTGGTTTGACCCAACTCTATTTATTTCTTATAGTCATGATTTTTACTTTTCAGCAAAACATTGAAGAATATGTTTATGTAGATTACTTTAAGATCTAGGCTTATCAAAAAAAATAACTAATATGATATTGCGGTTAAGTTGAAAAACTTAGTATAAACAAAATTTTTACAAAAATTTTATGAAATTAACGTAAGTTTGCCAAATGTAAAAATAAATCAAGAGCACAGATACTCAAATACAGCTTCTTTAAGAAAAAGTAAGAAAATAAATTCACGTAAATATTGTTTATAAAGTCTATTTGACCATAATTTACAAACAAATGCTAAGAAAAACCTAAGAAATATATATTAAATTTTCTTCCAATTGCCTGGTTTATTGAAGAAAATGTATCCATTAGAAAATCGAGAAAATTGCGAAATTTTGCATTTTTGTTACAAATTTTCATCTGAATCACCTGTATTGCTCTTGTTTATTTAGTAAACATTGTTATTTTACCGTTTAAACTTTTCATATTTTTTTCCCTAGCAGTATGCTCTGGAGAATATTTCAGAGAATAGGGATTAGAAAAGGAAATTCAAAAATAGGGTTTAGTTTCGTATATCATGTTCGAGACATAGTATAATGTTCTAAATGTCGTCTACTTGGAAAATGTAAATAATATGATTAAAAATAACTTTTTTTGTAAACCATGCATAAGCATTGAAATAATTCAATGATTAATTCAAAATATACAAAATAAGATGTACTTAAACGTGGGCAATAGTTTTTAGAAATGCTTGGCAAAGGAATTTCATTAAAAATTAAAATTTAAATTATTGGTTGTAAAAAGTTAAGATTACAACGAGTAAAAGTAAGAGAGTCACTTATACGATTTTAAGCGTAGGTGCTTTATAAGATCGTAATCATATTTAGTCACATATTAATAATAACCTTACTCACATATTAATAATAATTCTTTATTATTTTAAAAATATTTATTTAGCGCGCGTTGTAATGAATGGATTTTACTTATATGTGTAGTTTCCTTGCATCCAAATTTGAAATAATCCTTTCTAAAAGTCCAAATTTGAAATAATCCTAATTTCTTTCAAGTTTTTCAAACCTAAAACTTGTTCTTAAAATAATATTTTCGTTAGTTTTTCTTAACGTTTTCTTAATGTTTTTCTTCTTTAAACTGCGAAATTTTACTCTAAACTTTAGATCCCAAAAATTATTTATTATAATGACTTTTTATTCAATTAACTACCAAATTAGCACATAACTTAGTTTGCTCAGTGATCTTAAGTTTTTTTTAAGGTTAAATTTGTTTTTAAGACAAAAAACAGGTCAAAATGTGAAAAATTCGTACTCCTGCTTCGCATATCAAATTTTCACTAATATGGAAACAAACTTTTATCTTGTTCCACTTATGTGTATTGTTTTTTTTTTTTGTTTTTAGAATAAAAGTGAAAGGAATAATATTTGTGTGTTAAGAGATCAGGACAGAGGGTGAGAAAATTACAAAATTAGGGTACTAAAAAAATATAGGAAGAACAAAAAACAGAAAAAAAAAGTAAATTGAAAGTTTTAAAACCTATAAAATACTAAGCAAAGTTTAACTTTTTAGAGAAACTGTTACGTGAGGAGTTATATTTATGTGGCTGTGTTAGATATTATTTTTGGCTTACTTTTTTATTATTCTTATTATTTTGGTTTTTTGTTCGGTATTAAACTCTTAAAAAGCTTCTCAACAATATAAATAATATTTCAAGGTCGGCTAAAAAGTTTTACCGTTTTTACAAGTTTGCCAATTAATTTTCTGTAGAAAATGTAAAAAGAAACTTTTAAAATTAAATATTCACACATATATACATACACATAATAGCTACACATTTGTATATAGTTCCAATTATGTATATAAAATCAGGAAATGGGTATATAATTAGAGTAGTGTGTATGGTTTGGTGTGTGCCAAAGGGGAATTAGATATTTGCGCATAGAAAAATTATGAAGTCGTGAGTTATACGCAAAATTCTTTTATAATATTTTCATAAAATTTTCGTTAATCTACTCTCTTAATATAATAATTCAAGTAACTCAATTTTGTATATACATAGATAGATACATATATTTATATTAAATACTATTACTATACTATTACTAATACATACAAACATATTATGTATGTATATTTTTTGAAGTTAATAATCTAATTTAGATTGACTTTTAAACAAAAGTTTTACTCATATTAATTTTTCTTTTTCATAATTTTTTGCTCACTTTCACACCCATATTAAATGTGAAGTTTATAAAAGAAAATATTTAGCAAATATCTGTTATAATAGTGCAAAGCCACTGTCATATTGCTATGCTCGTAGGAATGTAAAGTAT